ACTGTCTTCGCGCTTAGTAGGGCAGACAGTCACTGAAAGAAAACGGAGCATGCTCAGCTACATGCTAGGTTTGAAAAGGAAAAAGGATCACCTTGTAAACAGGGGAGGCATTTAAAATATCTAGTAACGAGACGGCGAGATAGCTCAGTGAACTAAGCGCCTGTTTAGGCAAGCACAGGTACCGGGGTTCAATCCCCAGCAACACAGGCCCCGCCAGCCCCGCCCCCTGGCGTGCTGAACCAGCCACAGAGAGCCGATGTGGTGGCACACGCCTGTAATCCCAGCGCTGGGGAGGCTGAAAATAGGATCACCACGAGTCCAGGCTGTGTAGTGCAACCCTGTATCCTGTACCAAATACATTAAAGAAAGAAAGAAAGAAAGAAAGAAAGAAAGAAAGAAAGAAAGAAAGAAAGAAAGAAAGAAAGATTTAGTATAAAAAAAATCAGGCCACAGTGTGGAATGCCATTTTTAATGCTTTACAGTCACTCTCTTTTCTTCAAACTGTCAAGCAAAGCTACAAGAGGAATGTATAGGAGCAAATGATTATGTAAAATAAAAAAATCATACCCCCTCCTGCACCTGTAATTATTACAATGGAAAATCGCTATTTACTAATATATATTTATGATGTTAAAAATAAATATTCCTCAAGCGTTCTGTGTTGCAGTTATGCTAACACTCAACTTCTCTAGCAATCTTGTGAGGTAGGTGCTATTAGTGGCTCAAACTTAGAAGGAAATAACAGATATCAGGACTGTACAATTTTGAAGTGTCAGTTTGAATATGCTTAGACTAAATCTTTAGCAAGTCCAAAAATCATTCTTTAGTTCTCTCCCTAAAGCCATATTAATATGCTGAGCTGTGAAAGGCTCAAGTCAACAACTTCTGACATTGCCAGTCTTACAGAAAACCCACTACTGTTATGGACTGCTGGACTATATTGGAATATTTTGCTGAATCCATGCACCTACAATATTTAAAAGACAATGAAATACCCTTCTCTGACAAAACTAAACAAAAAAGGGGATAAAAACGAAGGACAATTTTGTGTCTATATATTCAAAATAGGATAGATATACAGCTGCATTCTCTTA